GCCTCTGGAGTTCAAGGCGTGGCTTGCCGACCTCCGCCGCCAACTCACTGGCCAGCGGCAGGATGGCGAACCGCTTTCCGCACACCTTGTCGGTACGCTCCCCTGCCCAGACCCCCCTGCTATTTTGCCCGCTGACTCCACCCCCACTGAGCGCGAGTCTACTGCTGCCACTGCCCGTGCGCGCTCTGTCTGGCTTTCTCGCGATGCTGTCGCCCAGCTTGCCATTAGCAACGCCCTTCCCCCGTCCGAGCGCCCTCGCTTTAGGTCCCTCACCACTGCTCAGGCATACTTAGATGCTGTCATCCAGCGCTATTCCACCCCTCCGGCTACCTCGGTGGGTCGCCTGATCCTCCCGATGCTCTTTCCTAACCTTGCATCTTTCCCCACTGTCTCTGACCTCGCTGCCCACCTGCGCTCGATAGATGAGACCTGGCGCGCTGCCTGCACTGACGCACAGCTTAGAGCCCACCAGCCGCCCATTACCTCTACCCTCTACCTGCTTGCCACCCGCCTCCCTGACCGCCTTGCTGTCGCCCGCGACCGCTTCCTTAGCATTCACCCCGCAGACCTCACCCTCACTGACTTTGTAGACACCCTGACTGTGATAGAGACCCGTCACCGCTCCATCGCCCAGGCGAGCGGTGTCGTGCCGGTCCCTATCTTTCAGGGTTGTGCCCCCGCTCAGTGTACCTTCTCCGACGGCTCTGCCGCAGTGGCTGAGACTGCTACTTCAGCGCAGTTCCGTTCGGGGAAGGGCCGCCGACCCAAGGTTGGGCGCGGCGGAGGCGGGGGTGCGGGAGGGGGTAGAGGTGGGGTCGGGTCGTCTGGTGCTGGAGCGGACGAGGGGACCCTGCCCAGTCCAGCTGAGCCGCCGCCCCTGCAGTTGCAGCAGCCGCAGCACCCGCCGCAGTCGCAGCCTTCGCAGCAGCCGCAGCAGCAGTCGCAGACACGGCAGACGAGTGTCCTCCCGCCTGGGTGGCCCGGCGCTGGCGGTGGCCGGGCGCGTGGTGGTGTGCCGAGTGGTGGCTCTGGCAGCGGAGGTTGTCAGTACCAGATCCAGACCGGTCCTCGCCGCGGCTTCGTTTGCGGTAAGATCGGTCACTCCACTCCCCGCTGTTTTCGTCGCCTGGACGACCTCTTCCGTCAGCGCTTCGGCCCGTCGCCAGACCTCCCGGACTGGCACAGTTTGCTTAGTCGTAAGATTCAGATCTTTGATATGGACATGGATGCCATTGTTTCTGCTCTGCATGTGATGTATGCTGATGACTCAAGTGTGCTTCCAGCTTATTACTCACTGTTGCCTAGTGTAGGTGTGCCTAGCGTAGCCTCCCCTGCTGCGTCAGGCGTAGGATCCCCTGCTTTGTGTAGTCTTGGTGCTTCCGCCGTCGTTCTGTCGCCAGACGCCTATGCTTCGCTTTCCTTCACCTTGGACTCTGGCGCTTCTCGGTGTTTCTTCCGCGACTCCACCACCCTGACGCCGCTTCCTGTTCCTGCTGCCGTTTCTCTTGCTGACCCCTCTGGTGGTCCGGTAGTCGCCCGCAGTTCCACCACCCTTCCCTGTCCGGCGGTTCCTTCGGGCTCTCTCACAGGTCTGCATATCCCCTCGTTCTCCAGGAACTTAGTTGGTGTCGGCTGCCTGCAGGACCTTGGCGTCACCACTACGTTCCCTGGTCACGAGCGGTATGCTGTCTGTACCGAGGCCGCCACTGGTGCCCCCCTGTCCACGTTCCCCCGGGACCCGGTGTCCGGCCTGTTCACTCTGGACACCGTGACCCCCCCGGCTGGGGCGCCCCCTCAGGTGGCTGCGTCTACCCAGGTTGCTGCTGCCTGCTCCTGTCGGTCCCTCACTCACCCGACTCTCCTTTGGCACCACCGCCTAGGTCACCCTGCGCTCCCGCGTCTGCGTCACATGTCCCAGCACGGTCTTGTCCTTGGTCTCCCAGGTTCTCTCCCCGCGTTTCCCTCCTCCCCAGCCCCACCTTGCACGCCTTGTGTCGAGGGTCGGCTTCGCCGTGCCCCTCACTCCTCCTCGTTTCCCCCTACCGCCGCGCCGCTGCAGACCCTGCACCTGGACGTCTAGGGCCCCGCCCCCGTCCCTGGGCCGCGTCGAGAGCGCTACTTCCTTGTGCTTGTCGACGACTTCACTCGTTACACCACAGTCTTTCCCCTGGAGCGCAAGGCCGACGTGCCTGGCGCTCTCATCCCCTGGCTTGTCTCTGCGCGTGTCCACCGCGGTCTCCCTGTCTTGCGTCTTCACTCAGACCGTGGTGGCGAGTTTGCCTCAGGTGTCCTTGGTCGCTTTTGTCGTGCGGAGGGCATCACCCAGACGTTCACCCTACCGGACTCCCCACAGCAGAATGGGGTCGCTGAGCGACGCATCGGTTTGGTCATGGAGATGGCTCGCACCTCCATGATCCATGCCGGTGCACCCCATTTTCTGTGGCCGTTCGCTGTGCGCTACGCTTCTCACCAGCTTAACTTGTGGCCGCACCCTCAGCAGCCGCAGGTTTCGCCGACCCGTCTTTGGACTGGGTCTCCTGGTGACGCGTCTGCGTTCCACGTCTGGGGCTGCCTTGCTCACGTTCGTACCTCCGGCACGGATAAGCTCACTGCCCGCACCCTTCCCTGCGTCTTCCTCGGTTTTCCCCTTGACGCGTCCGACTGGCACTTTTACCACCCGCCGTCTCACCGCTTCTTTCACTCTCGCGACGTCACCTTTGACGAGTCCGTTTCCTACTACCGTCGCTTCCGTCACCGTGGTCCCCCGGTTACCCCCCCCCTGTTGCTTCGTTCCCACGCGTCTCGTCCTCCCCTTCTGCTGTCGCCTCCTCCGTCCTCCCTTGTTGTTGCACCCCCTCCGATGTCTGACTACCTTCGTGCCGCTCGTCCCCTTGTTCCTCGGGTCCTTGCCTCTCTCGTTACCGACCCGTCTGTTCCAGTCTCGTGCCTTGACGCCCTTGTCGCTGCTGTCGCTGACTTCGCCTCTACCCGCCGCCTTGACTACGCCACAGCTCTGGTCTCTGACCCTGCCTGTCCTCCGTCTGTCGGGGGTGCTCGTGCTCTCGGCAGTGACGTCCTGGAGGACCGCCAGTTCGAGCTTGCTTTCCTCTCCGAGGCTGCTCCCCATCTCTGTTCCATACTGCTAGTCCCTGAGGGTGACCCAGACGCTTTCGACATCCCGACCCCTCGCACTTACGCTGAGGCGACTTCGGGACCTTGGGCCTCACAGTGGATAGCTGCCATGGAGCAGGAGATGGCATCTTGGAGATCCACCGGCACCTTTGTCGACGCAGTTCCCCCACCTGGGGTGAACGTAGTCGATGGCCGCTGGCTCTTCAAGGTGAAGCGCCCTCCTGGAGAGCCGCCTGTCTTCAAGGCGCGCTATGTGGCTAGAGGCTTCAGTCAGCGCGAGGGGGTGGACTTCTTCCAGACCTTCGCTCCGACCCCGAAGCTGACTACTCTTCGGATTCTGTTACACATAGCTGCTCAGCGTGACTACGAGCTTCACTCCCTCGACTTCTCCACTGCTTTCCTTCAGGGCAGCCTACACGAGCAGGTCTACTTGCGTCGCCCTCAAGGCTTTACTGGCACCTTCCCTCCTGGGACCCAGTGGCTCCTGCGGCGCCCCGTCTACGGCCTGTGCCAGGCTCCCCGTGAGTGGCACGACACTCTCCGTGCTACGCTTGCTGACCTGCAGTTCTTTCCGTCTTCCGCAGACCCTTCACTCTTCGTTCGTGCTGGCCAGACTCCGTTCTACATCCTTGTTTACGTCGATGACCTGGTCTTTGCCACAGCAGACAGGGACGCACTGGCCTCCGTGAAGGCAGAGCTGCTGAAGAGACACACGTGCACTGACCTTGGAGAACTGCGCCGCTACCTTGGCTTGCAGATCTCCAGGGACAGAGCATCGCGCACCATCACCCTGACTCGGTCACACTTGGTGCGCCAGGTCCTTCAGAGGTTCAGCCTTCATTCTCCTCTGCAGCGCCCACCCCTCTGCCTGTAGACCACAGACTCTCCGCTCCAGTGTCTGAGGAGTTGGTAGAGCCCAGTGGCCCCTACGCAGAGCTGGTGGGTTGCCTCATGTACCTGATGACTTGCACTCGCCCAGATCTCGCATACCCTCTCAGCATCCTGGCTCGTTTTGTGGCCACAGGCGGACACCGACCGCAGCACTGGTCTGCCGCTAAGAGGGTTTTGCGTTATCTTGCTAGTACATCGGGCATGGGGTTTGTGCTAGGAGGACGCAGGCCAGTGGTCCTTACTGGACACATAGACGCTTCGTGGGCAGACGACGCTGAGACACTCAGGTCTACCCGGGGCTACTGCTTCAGCCTTGGCTCAGCTGCCGTCTCGTGGAGAGCTACTCGCTCCTCGTCTGTAGCGCAGTCCAGCTGTGAGGCTGAGATCTACGCTGGTGCCATGGCGGCACAGGAGCTCCGCTGGCTGACCTTCTTGCTCACTGACTTAGGTGAGCGGCCTAGCTCTGCCCCGGTCCTGTTCGCTGACAACAGGGCCATGATCCTCCTGTGCCAGGAGCCTCGACTTGAGGGCAGAGCGAAGCACATTCAGTTGCGGTACTTCCTCCTGCGTGAGCTACAGCAGCGACGTCAGGCTCGCGTAGTACACTTGGCCTCAGGTGCCAACACGGCTGATATCTTTACGAAGGCGCTTGCGCCTAAAGATCATCAGCGGCACTGTGTACAGCTTGGTCTAGTTCCTGTAGCCTCTCACTTGCTAGGACCATGACTTTGTACTGTCCTTTATATGTATACTCTGACTGGACTTTTGTCCTCTCCCAGTGGCTGGACTAGTAGTGCCGCCCTGCTCTTGTTCTTGCCTCGTCTGTACTCCTCCTGACTGGTCTCTCAGACCCTTGTCTCAGAGGTTGGACTAGTAGTGCCGCCCTGAGCTGCTTGTTTAGGACATTCCCCTATGCAGTCTAGGGGGTGTGTCAAACATGTGTACTTGTCATGTTTGTATAGACTGTATAGGGTCATCTCTTAGAGGGTACAAGACTTAGGTATATCTGTGTGTACTCTCACTCTATCAATAACACTTTTCTGATTGTGATACATATATGCCTCATTCTAGTCATTGCGTTATTCTGAGAGTCTTTTCCCTCCTTCCATCTCCGTCCTTCCTCATGCCTTCCTCATCTCTCATCGTCTCTCCTCATCTCTCCTCATCTCTCCTCATCTCTCCTCATCCCTCCTCATCCCTCCTCATCCCTCCTCATCCCTCCTCATCCCTCCAGCTCCTCACAATCTTCAAGACACCGCTGTTGACGCTGCGGCACTTCCCCAAGTCCTGCGTGGATGCTCCCGAGGGCGTAACCCCCCATCAAAAGCCTTACCCCTGCCTCCTCCCCATGCATCGCCCGCTCTCCTCTCTCCCTTTCTACTTCTTCCCCTCTCCCTCCCTCCTCATTCCTCCAGCTCCTTATATCCTTCCAGATTCAGCTGCTGCAGGAGTGGCAGTTGCTTCAGTCCCGCTAGAACGCTCCTGAAGCCACTCCCCCCTATCAGAAGTCTTACCCCTGTTCCCTCCCCATGCACCAGTCCAACTCCTCCTCGATCCCTATCCCTGCCTCTCCAATTCTCCTTCCCCCCTTTCCCTCCTTCCTCATCCCTCCAGCTCCACGCATCCTTCCAGATTCAGCTGCTGCATCAGTGGTAGTTCCCTCAGCCCTGCTAGATGCTCCTGTGAGCACAGCATCCGTTCACAGTTAAGCTCGTGCGACTGGAGAGCGACGCGAGAGAAGGTGGCAGCTGGTGCAGGTGTATGCAGTGATAGACGGAGAGGGGACGGAGGGAGGTAAGGGAGGAGATAGATGTAGGGAGGGAGGAGAGGCTGGAACATGAGAGGGGGAGAGGAGAGTGAGGGAGGGAGGGAGAAGGGAAGGGAGTGAGGAAAGGATGAGGCGGTAGGAAATTTCTAAGGCTTGAAGGTGTTTAGAGAAGGCTGAGATACGGAGGGAGCGAAAAGATGAGGAGAGAAGTGAGGTGGAGGGAGTGGGGAGAGGCCAGAGAGGTGATGGAGCCAGAGAGGTGATGGATCCAGAGAGGTGATGGAGCCAGAGAGGTGATGGAGCCAGAGAGGTGATGGAGCCAGAGAGGTGATGGAGCCAGAGAGGTGAGAGAACGACTGCATTTCAGAGGAGAGATGGAGATGGAAGATCTTTTAGCCCGGGCAGCTGAGAGGGAAGAAATTCGGCAGGTTGCCCCCCTTCGGTTACCCAGAATCCCTCCATCCTCCCCACCAGCCCCAACCCCCATCCTCCTCCCAACTCCCTCCGTCATCCTCCCACCCAAACCTCTCCCTCACGCTGACAACTATGGAAGGCCATTCACTCCCTCTGTCCTGCCATTCACTCCGCCTGTCCCTCCTTCCTGTCCGGTCCTGCGCCTTCCCTTCCTCCATCCCTCCCTCGCTACCTCCACTTGCTCGCCTCCACCCTCCAGCCACCAATCTAAAGGTTTTCAAATGCAGCCGCAGATAGTCCTGCTCGCCGTTCCCTCCGTCTGTCCCTCCTCTCTCCATTGCCCCCTCCTCTCTCTCACCCCTTCCACGCCCTCCAGCCACCTATCTAAAGGTTTCCAGATGCAGCCGCCAATAGCCCGCAAGCCCACTTTAACCTCGGAAGGTGGCACCTGATTTTGCAGGGTGTTTTTTGAGAATTCTCAAAAACACCCTGCAAAATCAAGCCCAATCTAGCCTCGGAAAGCTGGGCAGCCCTCCAGTTCTACACTCGTAAGAGAAGGGAGATTCGTAAGGGAAGGTGGTACCTGCTCCAGACCAGAGCAGCGACAGAGAGAAAGGGAGCGGAGGGAGGTGAGCGAGGAGGCAGAGGGAGGGATGAAGGAGAGAAGGGAACACTCGGAGATGGCGAGGCGAGTGAGAGAGGGGGGGAGCTCGGCCGGGAGTGACGAGAGGTGGTTGCAGCTGGAGATCTCCAAGGCTTGGAGGAGCGAGAGCAGGCTGATATCCTGTGGGAGAAAGGTTAGGCGGAGAGAGGCAAGGTGGAGGGAGTGGAGAGAGGAGAGGGAGGTGATCGGATCTGGAAGCAGTTGCATGCCAGTGCAATGATGGAGATGCAAAACTTTCAGCCCGGGCAGCTGTGAGAGGAACTCGGGCAGGTTGGCATGCTCTGGAATGGCAGAAAGGTGGAGGTGTGTTAAGGCGGTGAGGTGGGAGCGGTTTATAGGAGGAAAGGCTTGAATGTCTGCACAGGCTGTAATCTCCAGGCACTCGAGGTTGGACAGGTTGGCGAAAGAGTCAGGGAGCGCGCGAAAGTTACAGGAGTTTCTGACTATTAAGCGACGGAGGGACGTCAGTCTGCCGAGTTCGGTAGGAAGGGAGTGAAAGAGCGGGCACGCGTCGATAAGGAGGCACTTGAGACGAGGCAGGAGGTAGAAGCCCGATGGAAATGGCTGCAGATCGTAACATTCGTCAAGCTCACACTCGGTAAGGGAGGTTAGGAGACCGATGGAATCCGGGATAGTGGTAAGCTGGCTGCAGCGGGAGATGCGGAGGAAGGAGAGCGAGGGGAGGAGGGAAGGGAGGGCGGGAGGGAGTGAGAGTAGGTCATCGGCTTGATGCAGACTGAGCCTTTTCAGCCCAGGCAGCAAGGAGAGGAACGATTCTGGCAAAACGGAGATGGCAGCATGCAGGTGAAGGTCCTCGAAGGATGGCAGCTGGCAAGTCGTGATTGGCTCCAGGACGCCGTCGTTATCCACGAGCTCAAGCTCTCGCAGTCTGTCCGCGTTGAAGTGTAGCACGCGCAGATTACGGAGAGCCAAGAGCGATCTTGGAAGGAATTTCAGGTAGGATAAATAATTTATCCGCACTTCCTGAAGCCGGGTGCATTTGCGGAAGAAATACGACAGGCCCTCTCTTCGTCCCCTCCTTTCGTCCCCTCCTTTTTCTAACAATCATCCCAGCAGCGTCTACGACCGAACTATTAGAGCCTTCAGCTTCCGAGTTCCAAAAGTCTATTTCTGGTTCTCCATCGACGAAACCGCCACAAACCCGCTCGATATGCTCTATGCCAAAATAGACCAGTCGCGGGCAAGAGTCGGCAAGGGAATGATAGAACCCGTGATCTAAGCAGAACTGGTGGTAGATATCCAAGTGAAGTCTCCTAAGTTTGGGGAAGCGCGAGAGGGAGAGCTCTAGTCTGCGAGGAAACAACGCACAGGCCGGCCGCACGTGGACCGAAGGCATGGCTAGGCACGCGAGGCGGTGCCAACGGCGGGACACCAGCGCGTGGTCGAACGGCCGGGGGTCGAGCCTAAATCGCAACACTAGTGGATTGGACCGAGGGTGTTCCGAGGGCTCGCAGTGAGAGGAGCAAGGAGGAGGGAACAGAATCTCATTTTTCCGGTCATCGAACGATTTGTCAGGAGTGTCGTGGAAGCGGGTGACGCAGCGTAAAACGCGAACGAGGAGATCGTCTGGCAGAAAATCAATCGGGGGAGAATCGGCCATGGCTGCGATTTTCGCTTGGCAAGAATCGTTCGACATAGCGGTGGACTCGGAATTAAAGAACCCGACGAATGGTGTCGTGGATGGGGAATTACCTTCAGTGAGGACGAGAAGCGCTCATGCCCTAGCGTGAAACAACGCGAGAGGGGAAAGAGGGTGTGTTATTGACATGTACTGAGGGCGTGTCCAGCGCGTTCGTTTACTATTCACTTTGCGGATCAGGTACAGAATTCTGTCTTGGTAACCCGAAATTTCGTGTCCATTCGGACACGCACGATAAATTGACGGTTTCGGCGGACACCTTCCAGACGTGCCCACAGACGTGAGCCACACGTTTCCGAACTGAATGAAAATCGTGCGCAAATTATGCACACGGCAGAAACGTCCAAAACATGGCTGACGAAAACTATAACGCTTACCTTCGCCAGGATTTCGTGACGCTTGCTCGCCTCTTTCCCGGGGCGACATTCGGTTACCCTGATTATTTCGCGCGTCAGTCTGTTATGTGCGCGCTGCGCACCCGCTCATCTGTCGAGCCACGGGCGGGACTCGTGTCCACTCGTGTCCCAGCGTTTTGCTGTTGATACAGTAGGTGTACCTCAACACATTCACACTTGGCGAATCAATATTTCTGCGTGTGAAAAAAACGTCAAAAATTCGTGTTGGAGAAAAATGAACGCGCTGGACTTCCCTGAGGCAAGTTCTGAAGTTTGCCCATCCGACGAAGTTTGCCCATCTGACGAAGTTTGCCCACGCGACTCGGATACCTCAATACACATTTCAATGTTTGCACACTATCCGAACTTTGCCCATACGAACCCAGCCACGAATCCTGCGATGGGGTCCACGTCCGCATGCGAAATGGGTGGCGATGAGAATTTGCCAGGCTTCCGATCCACATTCCCAGCGTGGGAATCCTCGGTGGCACGTAAACGTGTCTACAGTGACCACAAGAGTAATTTGCTGACAGATCAGCAACATTGATCTGGACTTGAGCAAAACCGCGTAAATGCTCGAGCAATTTGCTGCCAGATGGGCAACACTGGGCGGCTTATCTGTACGGACAAGATTTGTTCTCAGAACTAGAACACGAACAGAACTAGATCTGCGTCATTACGAACAGTTCTGAATCATCAAAATTTGGGAGGTTTTCCGTTCTGATCGACGGAAGGATGTATCAGTCATTCAAGACGCGACACATAGGCACAAGCCTGTTTCAACCCCCCAAACCCAACTGAACCCCTCGGTTTTCATTAATCTTTTCGTTAGTGGCCCTTCTTCGTTATCCGCGCCATAATTGACACACTACTACGGAAAATAGAACTAAGTGGGCCGTATATTCTCAAGAATAGTCATACAATATTGCTAATATTACGCTTTACAAACCAGAGACCAAAACACTCAATAAAATCATGGATGAAGTGAACGCAAGTTTGTGTTCAAGAGAAATATTGTGTGTGAAAAAAATCAGAGTTGCCATAAGGAGAACTAAAAGCATCGTACCACGAAATCATGTTGGGCCACATATGTGTTCTTGTTTCTGGCACCGTGGATGTCATCTAAATAATTTTTGAAGCTTTTGAAGATTTGTTGAAATTTTGTGTGTTCAATCCATGCAAATAAGCCAGTTCGCAGGTAAAGTAGCCTTAGTTGTTTTGTTTGGATTTATATTTCACAAAATATGTCAACATAAATCCAATGATGCAAAAAGGCTAAAGATGTAAGTTCAATTAATATATTATGTATTCATATTAATCGTAGTCCTCGGTCATTGTTGCGCGGATAACGAAGAAGGGCCCTTAGCGAAAATATTAACGAAAACCGAGGGGCTCGGTTGCGTTTGGGGGGTTGAAACGTGTTTGTACCTATGTGTCGCATTTTGAATGGTCAATATATCTTTCCGTCGATTGAAACGGAAAACCTCACAATCTTTTATGATTCAGAACTGTTCGTAATGACACAGATCGGAAAGATGACGTATGTTAAATTATATAAATTATTATATAAGTGTAGGCTTGCTAGATGTTACTGAACATTACTATAGAGGGTACAACACCCCTCCTTGTATCCCTCTCTTCTTTCCTAGCCTTTTTTTCTCTCGACATTCTCGCCTACCTCCTAGATCTAATCTCACGCCATTTTCATGGCTTCACCTATTCCTATCGAGCCTAACTTATTCTAGTTCTGAGAACAAATCTTGTCCGTACAGATCAGCAGCCCAATGTTGCCCATCTGGCAGCAAATTACCCTAAATGCGCGACCCGACCCGGTTTTGCTATACTCGACCTCGGGTCGGGTCCGGGTCACGTATTACATCCCAGACCAATACCCGGACCCAGTTTTCATAGGTGGGTATTTTAATACCCGCCAAGCGGGTCCGGGTATGCCTGACCCGATTTAGCTTACAAGCGGGTAATGCTACCCGCCCATACAGGAAGGCCTAAACAAGGTCTGTCTTTTACACGAATGCATTTTTCTTGTTCGTCTATCTATCTCCCAGGGTAGTGACAGCAGTGTGGTCATGCAAAGAAATATAACATGGATTTATGTGGGCTTGTAGCCACCACGACACTCCTGTACTTGCTAGCTTGTTTGGGATTGCTATACAAGGCATCAAGAAATACCTACCATACATTTAGGGCACGCAGTTCGTTCTACGGCTAGTCACAATTAGTTAACAAGCATGAAGCCATATCTGCATGACCCTATAGCTCAATGCTGGGTCCGAGCATGGTATAAGCACTAGAATGTACATAATAGGAAGAATTGTCCAATGGGGCTAACCTGTACCCACTCCTCACAACCCCTCGTCATCACCCTCATGGCACAACCCCCCCATGGCCCGATCCAGCGTCGCCAGTAGGAGGCTGCCGTCGGCGCGCTGTGCCATCCATGACTTGAGAGTCATGGTTGCACGCACCTGAGCAGTGCTCTGGTAGTGACGCTGCTAGGTGACCACATTCTGCCCCTGGCTGAACGCCCGCTCGCTCGGTACCGAGGTTGCACGGATGGCAAGGTAGGCTCGTGCCAACGCCTGCAACCCCGGGTACGACGAGCGCGTGCGCCACCATTCGAGCAGGCACTCGTCCATGTCCAAACGCGCCTCCTGGAGGTACCTGTGAACCTCGTCCGGCGCGGCCACTCCCACTCTCGCCTCTACCTCTGCCATCGCCGAGCCCAGGATGTCAAACAAGCGCCCCCCACCTCGGGCCTTGGCAACTCCCCTCCCCCCGGCCCGCGCTCCCCCTGTACTTGTCCCCTCCTAGCCCCCGTCCACCGCACGCCTGCTCTGCTCGTCCAGGTAAGACCGCAAGCGTGCCCTAACACATGTCACTACCTGCTCCTCAGTGACGTCACGCACCGCCCTATGCCCCCAAGCGGCCTCTTCCGCTAGCTCAGGGTAGGCCCCCTCCCACCGCTCGAGCTAGAAGTAGAGCTGCTTGAACCCGAGGTCCAAGAATGTGGCCACTGCCAGCTCCACACTGATGCCTTACACATCCCCCCACCCACACAGCCCGTGCCCGCACCAGGGATGTCAGCGTGCTCCCACGGGTCTGGTCCACCTGGCACCCCCGGGTACCCCTTCGCTGTAAACACCAACCACGGCTTCTTGTTGGCATCAGTGAAGAGAGGATACCAGATATGGAGGTGAGGCATGTGGAACGTGCACATGTGCTTGCACGCCGAACCAGTGTTGCTTTCACCCCAACCAATCGGCACCTCCCATACCTTGCAGCATCGCGCCCCCTCCCCCACCTCCGGCTGAAAGAACATCCCCTGCATCAGCCAAAGGACAGTACCCCAGTACCCGATTGTCACCTGAGAGCTGTCACCCACTCGTGACCGCTTATGCTGTCCACCCGTGCCCCCTCCTCCCCCACCTGGGATGACAGGCCGCCCCGGCGCAGGCGTACCACACTCCGCATGACCCCCCTCCCCCTCGCCCTCTGCATCCCCAAAGCACGCTGCATCCCCACCACCCTCCACCTCCCCCGCACCACTAGTGACACCACCGGCACCAATCGGCCCTGCCCTCCCCCGACCACGTCCACCACGACCGCGGCCTCTTCCCCTCCCCCTCCCCTTGGCGCGTCCATCTCCCGACACCTCATCCTCTTCCTCCGCATTGGGATGCCACTCCTGGTCACCCTCGCCTCCTCCTCCCCCTCCACTACCCCGCCCACCGTTCCCCCCCCATGGCTTGCCCCAACCCCCCCCTCCTGCATCACCCTCCTCCACCTCTTCCAGGAGGTCATCCTCCCCTCCCCCCTCATCTGCACGGACACCGCTCACCAAAGCAAAACTCTGGTGGCCGCTAGGGAGAGGGAGGCCACTCATAGATGCTCCAAGCATGGCACCGCTCTGGAGCCCGCCACCCTCAACCCTACCGCCCCCGAAAGGGACGGGACGCCCGTCACGGTCATAGAACTGCATGACGGGACAGCTCCCAACCCTAAACTATGCGCTAGAATGGGGAATCGGAGGGGGCGATTAGCTCTTGGAGCCCTAGATCTCCAAAACCTTAGAACCCTAGGGGCAAACAACCCCTCCGTACCTTGAATCCGCCGTAATGACGGAAAAAAACGCATTAAGGTGCGTGGAGTTTTGTGACTAAAGCGGTGCTGTTGTTAGGTGGCCCGAATAGGATAGGGACTATACAAAAACGGATTTGGGGAGTTGGGGAAGAAATTTCGACCAAATGGTCGAAATTTCCAACCCTCCCCAATTTTGATCAAGCTGCTGCCAACGGGTAGTTGCACGACCCGATTTCAGATCGGGTATACCCGACCCGACTTTGGGTTTTTACCCGAACTCGGGTATTTAATACAGGACCCGGCGGTACCCATTGCCCGCGTCGTCGCGTAGCATTTTGGGTAGCGGGTATTGAATACCCGCCCGGGTAACCTGGACTCGACCTGCCGGGTAATTGAAAGGAATCCCACTACCCGACCCGCCGTGAAAGCGGATCCAGGTAACGGGTACCCGACCCGGTCGGGTATTTTGCTCAAGCCTACATTGATCTGCTAATATGTACAGTGAGTGAAACAATTGTCCAGATGTTTTGCATTATTTAGGGTTTTT